AGAACTGATTAAAGAGCAAAACAGCCAACATACGAGGTCACCCTCCTACACCCTGTGGGGTTTGATGTGTATGAATCGGACAGACATTCTGAATAGTAAAACCACAAGCAGATGTAAGGTGTGCTTTCCAGACTGGCTGAAGCAGAGACCACCTTTCACATTGGACAGGTTATATTCTTCAGAAAAAACAAGTACCACACCACTGGAGTGTCTGTAATCCAGTTCATTTTTCTGACTGATCCCAGGTGTTCTATAAATTTACTTTTCCACTAAAACAAGGAGGTTGTCTGTGCCACGTTGTTTGTCTCAGCCTGTTTATAAGGGACCTGCAGGCAGATCTGATAAATGCTGTTTGCTGTAGCTGAGGGCAGAGCACTTGTCCAGGACCTGTTTCTGTTGTCCAGCAGCAGTGGGCAGCTGTGCTGGGTGTGTGCCCCTCCAAAACTTCCTGTTCAGTCTTAATAACAGGCAAACACTTCTCCTTTGAACTGTGGCCTCTTTGTCCCATGGTCTGTCTCTGGGTCACACAGTTTTGACACCGATCTAATACTCAGGGCGCTTTTCCTCTGGGACCAGCCTTCTGTGTTTTAATCTTTGTTTGTCAGCCATCTGTATTAAACAATCACATCATGGGTTCCCAGACATTAAATTGTACGGTATCAACTTAATTTCTTGGTCTACATTTGTTTTCCAAACAGGCATATTGGGCAGTTTTACAGCTATTTAAATGTTCCTTTACTGGAACAATGCAGAACTTATTTTTCACTCAAAATGCATTTAGTCTGGTTTCTTTTTCATTGTGAAACGTGTTTGTAATGAGAGGCTGAACTTCTTCACAGCTAAATGAAATCAGAATTTATAATTGAAATAAGGCAAAAGATAGCAAACTTCTGTGGATGAAGAGTAATCTTTCAATACTGGAACAGTAGAAAGGGAAGACTGGCAAAACAGTCCTGCCTTGCTCTTGGACTTGCTGGGAAAACATTCATTAATATTGTAAACTTTATAGTTAACTAAAGAACCTGTCTTCAAAATTACACATATTTTTAAAAACTGAGTGTTCAGTCTTTGTTGCTTGCTTGCAGTGTCCCTGACCCTCTGCAGGCACATGTCCCCAACCTGCCCAGCTTCTGTTACCACTTCAGGAGTGGGGTTTCTGCCGTGTGTTTTCCTTGCAAGTGTTGATCATCTTCTGTCTTACACAGAGCTCTCAAGGATTTTATCTTACGAGTCCAAATGCAGTTTAGAACATTTCAAGGAAAAGCATGGCAGAGGTTATTTAGATACTAAAAGCAGTTTTAGGAAAAATAGTATACATAATATTAGCATAGCATATCTAGATTTTTTAAAATACTAAAACCACTTTCTACTTGATACTGACTTCACTTTATATTTTTTACAGGGAACAAATGAAATTCTGCGAATGTATATTGCTTTGACAGGCATGCAACATGCAGGCAAAATCTTAACTGACAAAATTAAGTATGTTCTTATTTGTTGCTAAGTTTTTATTAAACTAAGAATCTGATAACTGTTTAACTATAGATAAGAGGGGAAACTGTGGGGAAAACCTGCAGTATTTTTCAATGTATTGTATGTCTAAAAGCTAGTTCAATGTTATAGAAGTCTTTTTTTCTTTTTAATTGGATATTTTATAAATGTAGGAATCTTGGCCTTATTATATTTTATCTTATAATTCCAGCTTGTGTAAAATTCTTTCTTACAAGACTAGTAGTTAAAATTTTATCACTTAAGGTTTTATAACAAAGTTTATTGGTAAGACAACTATATGGTGCATAATGAGTACAGATACTGGTCTCTGGAATTTGTTGTCAGTATTTTTGAGAAGAACTTAATATGAACCATGTTGTATATATACTTCTAAGGCTGTAGAATTGTTCTCTAGACTTCATAGTAAAATGGGTCAAAGGACTTGATGATTTGTAGATAAACTGCAGGTGTTTTGGTAAAGCATTTACAATTTCAACTGGTTGTCTGAACCTCCTGAAACTTCCCTTGCAAACCAGGAATTGGCCTTTAACAGCTCTTGTTTACCCAACATTTTAGAGAAATCAAGAAAGGAAATGTGGGAGTGGCACTGGGAGAGTTTCTAAACAAATTACGGGACACGATGGGCAGAAAAGTGGATTATGGGCTAGTTGGTGTTGGTGGAGTGGTGCATCCCAGCCTCCAGGTAAGGGGGGGATGGGGACACAGTGCTCTTTGATCAGATCCAGGCACGGGTCCTTCCTGTTTGATTTGATACCCTGTTTATGCAGAATAAAGTGTGTGCTTAGGAAAAGTGAGTTACAAATTTAAGCAGACGTTTATACCATTTCAGGGATAAGGACTTAGTTATTATATGGGTACATATCAAGGTAAAATGAAATGAAGAGTGCTCTCAGTCTGTATTTATACCAAATCCAGGTTTGTATCTATTTTAGTAATTTCTATAAATTGAGCCGTCACAGTCTTTATAATGGTCTGTTGCAGCCCTTCATAATGAGCTCAGTTACAAAACCCAGTATTTTTTCCTGTTTAATAGTAACACAGTTATAGGTAAGAATTTCTGTGAACTATATATACATAGTAGCTTAATCACTTAGTAAATAATTTTTACAACCAAGCACGAGCATTCTGTCAATAGAAAAAAGACACGTTTTTCCTATGATGTTTTTTTAGTGATTTGAAAAAGTAACAAACCTTACTGTTCTGTCAGTACACCTGTCTTCCAGGTCAGATATTTCAGGCACTCAGGTAAGGGGATTCACCAGCAGTTGCTAATACTGCTCTGTTCACATAAGGCACCTTAACCATGTGGCACCTCCTTCGGGGGAATACGCTGCGTCCTTGCAGTGCCCCCAGAGTATGTGCGTGGATCATTTTAACTACTAACCTGGCTGACAAGCTAGATTCAAATTTCCTCTGAGTAGTTTCAAACACACTTACTTGCATTCCTGTGACAAGAATCAGCATAATGAATTAGTTGCATTCATGAATTAATAAAAGCCAAATATGACACTGGAAGTTTTCTTTATACTTAATACCAGAATTTGAAACTACTGGTGAATTCACACAGTAGTACCCAATGATCTTAGTTTTCAGGGGGTTTATAACCTGCAGCACTTAGAATTAGGTTTGCTGTACAGAACTAAATGTTGCATAAGAATGTTTCAAACTATTATTTGCATAAGCATAAAGACTACTGAAAAGTTATCAAAGTAAAATTTAGAAAATTTTAATGCATGTCTTACAGAGAAAGAATAGTGCCTGCCTGGCTTTCAGCAGCAAACTAGATAAATGTTAAAACAGTGCTTGCCAAGAAAAAAATCTAGTATTAGTTAAGCTTTAGGATACCAGGGTTGCAGTGATTTTTCCCCTCAGAAAAGAATCAACATTATATAATTCCATTCCTTTTAGGAAACTTTCTCCTTTTTTAACTGGGAAGAAAAAGATGTGAAGCAGTGAAAGATCATCTTAAAAGGGAATTCTGGTCAGTGACTAGAAGTTGATAGTAAACACTGCATTCAGCAGAAAATTGAACTGCCAGTTTTTTAGAGAGGGAAAGTTTGTTCTTGTGGTGGGGCGGGTGTCTTGGGTCTTACATTGTTATTTTCTGCCATAGAATTGCCTGTTAGTTGTTAACTTAGTGTATGCTGTTCCTTCGTTTTGATCATGCAGAACTGATTCCAGACCTCTCAACAGTGTTCTGCTACACTCCAGTCCTGGCTCACTGAAAAGGAAACCTAGTTTTGTGCTGTAGTTGAAAATTGTCATTTGTGTCTTGGCTGCAAAACCCCCCAGAAATGGTGGGCTCCTGCGGCCCGACCACAGGGGCCCAGGACCGTGCGGGCAGAGCAGCTGCTTTTCATGTAGGAGGTTGTGTCACCCAAGTCCAGAGTTTGTTTTTTTGGCTGGGCAGCCCAGGAGTAGCTCAGATTTCCCATAGGTGCTTCCCTAGAGTATGCTGCTTGTTTTCCCTTAGAAGACTACTCAAATTGTTGTATTTTCTGTTTTATTTTATAGGAAAGTGGCAAGAAACTTGAAGAAAACATTTACTATTTTGGAACTACAGTGAGAGGCCTGCTGAGTAGGTTTGGCAAGGTACCATTTTTTCTGTTAGCTTCATTATTGAGTAGTTTAACCTCAACCAAATTGGCCTCACTAGAACCTAGAGTGGGCTGTGTGTGTAGCAGGAGCCAGGACTTCCTTTACACAACACATTTCCATTGAATATGAGAAAACACACTGAAATTCTATACTCAGTATAATAGACAACTTATGTTTAAAAAAACCCAAACCACAAAAAACCCATCAATCTTGGTGAAGTAGTTGTTTTCATCTACTTCTGTAAGCACAAATCCTGCCTGCTCCTGTGGCTGCTTTTCTGTGAGCAGTCACTGGAACCACGTCCCTGTTCCCAAATGAAGAGCTGTACCTGTAGTTTTTGGATTTATGCTATTTGTCTGTATTCTGCAAATCAGATAGGAGACTTGAGCTTAGAAAATCCTGGATTTTCAATTTTGGGACAGTTAAATCTGGTATGTTCTGAGAATGCTTATCAGACTTGGCCCTGCCACATTCCACCTTAATTAATACATCTTCTGAACAGGCTTAATATATTTGGTACTTAAATTTCAGTGATTTTGGCATTTACCAGAGTGGTTTAAAGACACAGCAATTTTACTGTAGGCTGCAGGCAGACAGTGCAGTTAATCCAGAATTTTCTGATCTAGGGTAGAAGTTCTGAGTAACAACTTGCCTGTTCATGCTAAATAAGCCTAAAGCCAAGGTATGAAAAAAATGTTTGGTTAAAGTTTTAAATTGATGAACTACAAGCTAATAATCATTTCTACTCTTCTAGACAATTGTGGATGAGCAGTTGGTTCTGAAGAGAGTGGCAGATATAGTTATTAATATATATGCTATGACAGCAACTATTTCCAGAGCCAGCCGGTCTATCAGTATCGGCCTAAGAAACCATGACCATGAGGTAAGCTGTACTTTAATACCAGTCCTACCCGTTTAATGCCTGCACTCCCTGGATCATGTGGCTTAACCATCAGTATTTATTACCATTGTGCCTCACTAGGTGTTTTGTAATAAAGAGGCCTCAGACTTCTCCTTGCAATGTTACAGCCTGTCTGTGTTTTACAAGGCTCTAACCCGCTGCTTTTGCCTCCCTGAGCCAACTTTCCCCTCAGCTCTGAAACGTGGAGGAGCATGAGGCTGTCCTAAGAGTGCCCTAAACCAACGGGCGTTGCATGCTAATGGCTCAGACATCGCAAAGCCTCAATGACAAGCAGCTTTCATTACACCCCAAAGCACACTCTACATTTGTTAAGAATTTACCACAGCAAACTCTCCCGTAAAACCAACAGCACACCAGAATGTTTCTAAACCGATTGGTTCAAGAAGTGCAGTAACCACAGCAATTGCCTCTCAGGTGTTCTGAACGTATGAGTCACATGCTATTAAAGTATTTAAACTATGTTAACAAATACATACACATTTATGAATGAATTACAAATTTGCATGTTCTCTTAAACCTGCTAATACCATGCAGTTCTTCCCAAACTTTTTCCATATAATCATTAATAAATAGTAATGTCTAACAAGAATATTTTGTCAAATTTATTGACAGTAAAGTGGGAGTTTGGCACACAGGTGATTGTATAGTAGCTCATTTAAAGTTTCATGGTAACAATTATGCTACAGGAGAAGCAAATTTGCTACAATTAAGTGTTAGACAAATCCAGACTGATTAACCTTTGACTTCCCTGGCCTTGAGACGTCATACTTTCTGTGTGTAAACCATCTGGATTTATTACCAAAAATGTCTTCTGGTCAATTTTGAGTGAAGGGGTCATCCCCAAATCTGACACTTGGTAGCTGTGGGGAAAAAATAATGATTAAGCTTGCAACATACATTACTGGCTTGCAGGGCTCCATTCTCAAGAGACAAAACTAGACTTTCAGAAGTTTAAATGACTATATTTTTACTACATTGTTTTGTTTACAAAATTAATTCAATAGTTCTCAACTGAGTTTTACCGTTTTCTCAGGTGCTTCTTACAAATATCTTCTGCACAGAAGCATATTTCAAGAATAATTATGCCATGGCTCAGTTACAAAAATGTAAGTTCTATAAAAATAATTTTTATACTCTCATGGCTTTCACAGACTGAACAAAAGTAGGTGGGTTTGATGTGACCAAGAATAGTTTTGCTCTGTCTTTAATTTGGATGCAGAACAGAACCTGGTATAAGGGGAAAATAAAGAGTCTCTTCATTTAATTTATTAAACTGCAGTGATTATTCTTTTCCAGCGGTGGGGAGAAATATAAAATCTATCACTAGCAAATACTCCTGTAAAGAAAATAGGAGATAGCAGTTAGGTGTTTGACCTATTGGGTTAAGTACTGACCAGTTAGGTATTTGCTCTCTGAAACTCAGTCTGCAGTAATCAGTCTTTTTTAGAAGATAATGTTAAATTATTTCCTGCCACTGCAGTGTAGATACTTGCATTTGCATTCTAAAATCCTTTTTGAAAGAACTTCAGAAAAGCTATTTATGTTACTGTAGTTAACTTTCCTTCTGTTTCTCCGCAGATGCAGATGAAAATCTGGATGACCATATTAAAAAAGCTGCAAAGCAGATACTGGAAAAGAGAGCGTATATGTGTTCTCATCCCCTGGACAGGACATTCTGATCTCTGCCCTGACAGCAAATCCTGATGAATGTAAAATGGTGACTAATTTTCTGCAGTTCAAGTATTTGACACCTTAAAAATAACCAGTTCATGAGCTTACCAAATGTAATTAGCCATAACTGTGTAAAGTAAAACTTCTAAACACAACTTCATATAAAGAGGATAAATAAAGACATTTTGTTTAAATCTGAAGTTATCTCATCAGATGTATATGTCTGTTTCACTTGGAGCTAAAGACAATTGAGCTTTGGGCGGTGAGATGTGTTTTCCCAGGGAGGGGATGGGGTCTTAGATTTCTAAATCTCTTTTAAGCTTAAATCACCTCCTTATTTCCCTCCCTTTGGAGAAGCCCTGAAAGACTTGCAGCATCAGAGCACTTCAGTTGGGAAGGGGCCTGCGAGGTCACCTTGTGCGGGCAGCCGCGCCCACACGGTCCTCACTGCCTTGTCGGGGGGAGTGGGAGGCACCCAAGGGCAGGGGTGTCACTGCTGCCCTGAGCTCCCATTTAAATGGTTTGCTTTGTGCTTCTCCGTGTTCTGTTCTGGCCTTACACTGGCCCCTTTGCTTTATTTTGTTTTTAAAAGCCATAAATAGGGAGGTTTATTTAAATATAAGCTGTCAGATTAAAAAAAAACTCACAATAGATTTTTTAATGAACATTACTCAGACTTGATGACAGTTTACCCATTTTTTTTCCCTACCCTCTTGCTAACCCCTAAACATAATTTAGGTACCTCTTCACTGCCCAGCAAGTTCAGTTTTATCCGATGATGCATTTCAACATTTTCAATTTTGGGACAGTTAAATCTGTCCCAAAGTCCCCATACTTGCCTTTGGGAATTATTTGCTGCCCAGATTTCATCAGGAAGGTGATGATTTGGGGTGCATTACCAGTTATCTGCTGTTCACTGAGTGCCTTCTGTTGGCTGAGTTACCTCTATCCAGAATAACTTCACTCGAGCGTGTCGTTCTGGGGGGGTCTCCCCATCGTGCAGTTCTGTTTGCCAACACCCTGTTTTCTCAGCACTGCAGCTCTGTCTTGCCTTTGGGAACTGGAGGCCAGCTATGAAATGACAGATCTCCTTTTCAGCCTGGTAAAATACCAGTGGGTTCAACACAGGAGCTAAAGGGTCATCATTGCACAAGGTGACACCCAGAAGGCTGAAGCCTGACCTTGGTAAGCATGATTTGTATCTAGTGTGGGACTCTGAGAGGTTACGTGTCTGCAAGAGCTGAATAATTAAACGAAGCAAAGCAGTATCTTAGAATATGTGATGGCACAACAGCAAAATAAAGGCCAGAACTCATCCCCCCACAATAAAGAACAAAATGCCAATTTAACCCACTTTACATTGTTCTGTATGTAACTGAGACAGTAAGTACAAGTTTCCTGTTGGTGCAGAATTTGCTGTTTGATACAGTTTAATATAGAAGGTTCAAATCACATGAAACTTCAGATTTCTGGCAGTTGAATTAAACTGGAAAGGTAAAAACTGCTCTTCAGAAGCACAGATTTATGCTGCTTAGACTAGACATGCTGCAGCCTTCCTTGGCTGAAGTGCTGGTGTCCCTGCCAGCCCCTGGATTCAGCCTCTGAACGTGGGGGCAGCCACAGTGACACCCAGGGCCCGTGATCACCAGCAGCAACCTAATTCCTTAATTCTGGAGTTGACTTGAAAGGGAGGGAGACCTCCCAAGAATACCAAGTTGTCCTGTAGAATTGGTTTGTTTCTTTGGGATACACCATAAGGATTTAGTCTATCAACCGAGTAATTTCTTGCTACAATGTCTGTGCCCTGTAACCCTTTGGCAGGCGCCACATCACTTGCTGCTGGCCCACTTTGGCTATTTCTGGCAGCTGGGTTGGCTTACTTGAAATCTGTGCCTTGGAGTTTTTCAAACTTCTTTTGCTTCTGGTTGTGCCAGGGGTAACGTTCTCGCTCCATCTCCAGCCACCAGCGATGCTCTTCCTCCTTCCCAGGGGGGCGCCCGAAGTGGGGCAGGGGGCTGCCCAGGCTGGGACAAGAGAGCGGCCTGTGTCCTGCTGCTCAGCCAGCCAGGCTTCAGAAAAATAAGAGGCGAAGAAAGCCTGCCTATACAGGAGGTTTTGGGAGCCGTTGAGCTCCAAGGTGAGTCGGTTTTTAAATGCATAGATTCCCCAAAACATGGACAAGAAAAATAGGAACTGTTGCACTTCATATAGTATTGAATGAGTCCCAGAGCGTTTACCCTACAGGCAAACTGCAAGGTTGGAACAGTACAAGGCTAAAGCACATGGTGCTCAGTCACATGGCCTTAAAAGCCTGTATTTGAGATCAGATTTTTCTTATTAAAAAAAATTATGTGCAGCCTTTGTGCTTCAGAACCTTTAAGGTACAAATCACAAGCTGATTCCTAATGTTAAGTGAAAAAAGCAAATAACAAACAACCACCCAAACTCACAACTGCCAAGTTAGTCAGTAAAGATCAAGCTCTAGCTTGGAAGTGCCCCCAGAGGTGTCATGTGGCCCTCGGGGGGTTTCTCTGCCTAACAAAGGAGTAGAAATATTTAGCAGAAATTGTCCCAGGAATCAAATAGCTGCACTAGACAAGAGCTGTGAGACTGAATATGCTCTGCAGTAGATGTGCCTGATGCCGTGGGTCAGGTTACACTCCCAGAAGGCTGAACAAAGAAAGCATGGGGGTCGAGAGACACCAGGGACAGGGAGCCTGTGTGATTACAATTTAAAAAAAAAAAAAAAAAAAAAAAAACAATTTTAAG